GAAGGACGAGTAGAAGAAGTGCACAGACACAGCGATGACTAACAACTGAATGTTTATTTTCAAGCGAACCAGAAAGTAAACACTGGGTGTGGACAGGAAAAAACACAGAAGCCAAAAAAGGAGGAGGAAACCCGATAAAACAAGACACTACCACGCCATATCACTTTCACACACGTCTGCCACAGTTCCTGATAAAAAACACTTCGTCAGCCCCCAAGTTAACCGACGGAGCACTGACGCATTCTTCCTCCCCCCTTGATAAAATATAAAAGGCCTCATCAATCTCCCGGGCAGTCTTGTTTTTGTTGCGCGCCAAGATCGTCAACTCATTGAACAGGGGGACGCAGCCGCTCCTACTACAATGTACCGCAAGGTGGCCAGAGGGTGAGGAACGGAGAGCAAGGGAATGCTCCCTCGCCCTCACGTTCACACACCTCCCTGTCTGTCCAATGTAAACCCGACCACATGTGAAGGGGATCTGGTATACAACCCCTACTGCGCATGAGACAAACGGATCGCGGTGGTTAACATCACAGTGGTTTTTCCTGGTCAACCCTCGGTTAACGGCGGAGCATAGTCGAGATAACTTCCGGGGCGCCGAAAACACCACAGGCACCTTATACTTGTTGGCCACGCGCTTGACTTGATGTGAGAGGGCGTGAATGTAGGGCACCACCACTGGTCTGGTTGTCGGTTTTTGCCTCGCCTTAGGACTGGTTCTACCTCCGAACACCTTAATAAGGGACTCAGCCACTCCCACAATCATCGCCACCGGGTATCCCGCAGAGGTCAGCCTAGACACCTGTGAAAGCAGGCTGTCCTCACACCTATGGTGGCATGACTTGAGCAAAGGGGCGCGCATACCCGACGTAGTGATCGCACGCTTCACAAGCTTTGAGTGCGGGGAGCCGTATGGCAAAAGCCTCTTCTTAGAGCGTGGCTCATAGGCCCAACAGGTGTGTGACGGCTGAAGAGTGAGCCTCAGGTCCAAAAACTGCAACCCCTCTCCCGTAGGTGTCTCGTACTTAAACGATAACCCGGGGGAGCATTCCTTAAAGGAAGCCAAGACTTCCACGCACACACTATCCCGGTTGGGGCCCAGGCTATCTTTAAACACAACAAGGTAGTCGTCAACATACCGAAAAACTCTCAAAACCCGACAATCCAACGACTCCGCTATGGCTCTATCACACCTCGCCAGATATAAATCACTAAGGATAGGCGCCACACTCGACCCGATACAAATCCCACTCTTTTGCAGGAAAATTTCGCCTTCAAACGTGACATAGGTGGAACTCAAGTAAAAAGTCAACAACTCCAAAAAAGATTCCACCGCCAAACCCGTCGAGTTCATAAAAGCCACCGACTCACTGGACTGAATGCCCTCTTCCACCCCTTTCATCTATTCACCATGGGGTATTGAGTAGAACATATCCTCGACATCCAGAGACACTAAATCACACCCTCCCGGATTGTCTTCTCGGAGGTAATCCACAAGGGCCTCAGAATTGCAAATACGAAAAGGGTCATCCAACGTGAGCACACACAGGTGGCGCTGAAGAAAAGAAGATACATGAAGCTGCCAGGAGTCTCTCTGGGTAACGATAGCTCTAAAAGGCCTGAGCTCCTTATGGGTCTTCACGGAGAAGAACACCCCGAGATTGAGGCCCTTGGCCCCCGACACAGACTTCCCGAGGCCCTCCAACCCAAGCTGACCGCAAAGCCTCACTGCCCTGGCCTTTACCCTCTTGAGCACCACTCCCGACACACTTCTGAAATTCTTAAGCACCGCCTGTCTCGCTCTTTCCTGAAACATACCTTCAGGCACCACAACAAACCCCCCCTCTTTATCCGACAACAACAGCGTCAACTTAGACTCATTAAAATAATTTACCACCGTTCCCATCTTGAGCCTGGGCAAAGGCCTTCGGCCTACCTCTTAATAGGTGGGCAAAGGGGTAGGCCTTCGGCCTACCCCTTTGTTCCCACCTATTAAGATGCTCAACCAACTCGCCCAACTCTCTGCCGTGTTGAACCTCATTTCTTGTACATCGGGCCCTTTTTTGTGTGCTCCTATCGTAACCCATCAAGACGTTTTCTACATTAACGCCATCGCATCAGCAGTCTGCAAAGCCCGTCACTACGGGTACGCAGCCAGAAAAGGTACGTCCCCCCCGGAAGTCGTCGCCCTTTTCGGTATGGTGAATCCGTCCGCCGGACATGCGAAACGGGTGTGCAAGATCCTTCGTTCGGAGTCGCGGAGACAAGTCAGACTACTACAGGAAGGTTTAAAAGTCTGGTGCTATCGGACTTCTGTGGATGCGGGCGCAGCAGAAAGGAAGTTCCGAGCGTGCAAGCGAGAGGTTGTGCAGGTGACAGATTTTCTGTGGGAGCGGCTGCGCGCCTCGTTCCCTAAGAAGTGTCAAGGTCAGCCGGGAGTCAAGGGCAACGTGGTCTTCATGGGAGGTGCGTCGGCTCCGGCAGAAGTGACGGACATTTTGGAAAAGGGTCCCAAATTCGCCACGGAACCGTCGGTCGGGCCTTCGGAAATGCTGGCCCTGGTTCGGCAGGTATCTGCGAAGTCGTCAGAGGAAAACAGGGACCGTTGCGTTCATGAATGCGTGGAAGGGTTGACCAAAGGGGTAGGCCGAAGGCCTTTGCCCAGGCTCAAGATGGGAACGTTGGTAAATTTTTTTAATGAGTCTAAGTTGAAGCTGTTGTTGTCGGATAAAGAGGGGGGGTTTGTTGTGGTGCCTGAAGGTATGTTTCAGGAAAGAGCGAGACAGGCGGTGCTTAAGAATTTCAGAAGTGTGTCGGGAGTGGTGCTGAAGAGGGTAAAGGCCAGGGCAGTGAGGCTTTGCGGTCAGCTTGGGTTGGAGGGCTTCGGGAAGTCTGTGTCGGGGGCCAAGGGCCTCAATCTCGAGGTGTTCTTCTCCGTGAAGACCCATAAGGAGCTCAGGCCTTTTAGAGCTATCGTTACCCAGAGAGACTCCTGGCAGCTTCATGTATCTTCTTTTCTTCAGCGCCACCTGTGTGTGCTCACGGTGGATGACCCTTTTCGTATTTGCAATTCTGAGGCCCTTGTGGATTACCTCCGAGAAGACAATCCGGGAGGGTGTGATTTAGTGTCTCTGGATGTCGAGGATATGTTCTACTCAATACCCCATGGTGAATTGATGAAAGCGGTGGAAGAGGGCATTCAGTCCAGTGGGTCGGTGGCTTTTATGAACTCGACGGGTTTGGCGGTGGAATCTTTTTTGGAGTTGTTGACTTTTTACTTGAGTTCCACCTATGTCACGTTTGAAGGCGAAATTTTCCTGCAAAAGAGTGGGATTTGTATCGGGTCGAGTGTGGCGCCTATCCTTAGTGATTTATATCTGGCGAGGTGTGATAGAGCCATAGCGGAGTCGTTGGATTGTCGGGTTTTGAGAGTTTTTCGGTATGTTGACGACTACCTTGTTGTGTTTAAAGATAGCCTGGGCCCCAACCGGGATAGTGTGGGTGTGGAAGTCTTGGCTTCCTTTAAGGAATGCTCCCCCGGGTTATCGTTTAAGTACGAGACACCTACGGGAGAGGGGTTGCAGTTTTTGGACCTGAGGCTCACTCTTCAGCCGTCACACACCTGTTGGGCCTATGAGCCACGCTCTAAGAAGAGGCTTTTGCCATACGGCTCCGCGCACTCAAAGCTTGTGAAGCGTGCGATCACTACGTCGGGTATGCGCGCCCCTTTGCTCAAGTCATGCCACCATAGGTGTGAGGACAGCCTGCTTTCACAGGTGTCTAGGCTGACCTCTGCGGGATACCCGGTGGCGATGATTGTGGGAGTGGCTGAGTCCCGTATTAAGGTGTTCGGAGGTAGAACCAGTCCTAAGGCGAGGCAAAAACCGACAACCAGACCAGTGGTGGTGCCCTACATTCACGCCCTCTCACATCAAGTCAAGCGCGTGGCCAACAAGTATAAGGTGCCTGTGGTGTTTTCGGCGCCCCGGAAGTTATCTCGACTATGCTCCGCCGTTAACCGAGGGTTGACCAGGAAAAACCACTGTGATGTTAACCACCGCGATCCGTTTGTCTCATGCGCAGTAGGGGTTGTATACCAGATCCCCTTCACATGTGGTCGGGTTTACATTGGACAGACAGGGAGGTGTGTGAACGTGAGGGCGAGGGAGCATTCCCTTGCTCTCCGTTCCTCACCCTCTGGCCACCTTGCGGTACATTGTAGTAGGTGCGTCTGCGTCCCCCTGTTCAATGAGTTGACGATCTTGGCGCGCAACAAAAACAAGACTGCCCGGGAGATTGATGAGGCCTTTTATATTTTATCAAGGGGGGAGGAAGAATGCGTCAGTGCTCCGTCGGTTAAATTGGGGGCTGACGAAGTGTTTTTTATCAGGAACTGTGGCAGACGTGTGTGAAAGTGATATGGCGTGGTAGTGTCTTGTTTTATCGGGTTTCCTCCTCCTTTTTTTGGCTTCTGTGTTTTTTCCTTTCCACACCCAGTGTTTACTTTCTGGTTCGCTTGAAAATAAACATTCAGTTGTTAGTCAGCGCTGTGTCTGTGCACTTCTTCTACTCGTCCTTCGTCGGTTTTTCCTGCGCTGTTCCCACCTATTAAAAAAGCTTTAATGTTCCAGCTAGCACGGAGGTGGTACAGATCACGTTGACACAAATCCAGGTTGATTGCCGGTTGGCAATCAACGTGGATCTGTAGTTTCTGTAGTAACTTGTAGTTTCTCTGAGTAAGTTTTTCCAAGTAAACGGAAGGCCAATGAAGTCAATAAGCAGCGTAAAAGCATTTTCTAACTGGGAGGCAAAGGTTCCACGTCAGCATTGACTCTCAGCGTTCGAGAGTTGTTCTTACTTGTGTGGAAATGGTCCAGCTTGAAATAATTTTCCATTCAAAGACACCAAGTAAAAATGAAATCGCAAAAGAAAAAAGACAGAGACAGAAGAAATGATGTCTAATCTACCTTCAAGTCTTACCCATATACCTGGACGCGCAGGTCTTCGGCAGCTGGGTACTGGGCGGTGTGGCCTGCAAGGTCATCGTGTACCTGCAGATCGTGACCCTGGCCTCGACCACGTTCATCCTGACCTCGATGAGCTACGACCGGTACATGGCCATCTGCAAGCCCCTCGAGTCCAGGTCGGGCCTCAGGCGCGCTCGCAGCATGGTCGCCGCCTCCTGGGCCATGGCATTCGTCTTTGCCACTCCACAGCTCTTCATCTTCCTTCAGGTGGGTTGAGACTGCATCTGAACGACAGTCAGTTGTACTCAATCCTCATCGACCAGAAAAGGATAGAAATGCAAACAAGCGATCGCGTATTGGGAGAAACAGTATCATGCTCCGAATTCATAATATGCAACTAGGCGCCCTTGCTCAGTAAGAAACCTCATTTGCGTTTTATTCACTATTGAGCAACCTGAGAATCGATGACTACTATCAAGATAGCCTTACCGAGTAGTCCTTTGTTTTAGGCCGTCATTTGTTGTACATGTTTCAATTATGCTTCCACGTGCTGAGGTGTGGAGAAGAAGTAGAAATACAGGCATATATTGTTGTTTATGCTCAACGTTGCAGCAATGCCGAGGCACACCGCAGGCCGTACACGTGTTTCACCTGTGTACATTTACGAAGATACCAAAAAGTCCAATGGACGATAATTGTATTTTCTTCTGGTAGTGGTGAATATGTTGCACAGTGACATGCGCAAAAAAAAAAACGGCATCGAGTTGGCAGGTTCATAACTAATACATTGTGAACTTTCAAGCCATTATTGTGTGGATATTTGGAAGTGCACGTTGGGTGGAATTGGATATTTCGCCCTATTCCAGAAATGTTAGAGCTTCCGTGAGCACCTCCTGATGGTGTGTTCTTCTTATTTCACAAAGCATGCACAAAAACAAAGCAAAGCCGACTTAAGAGCACGGCATGAGCGTCCGGCATCGTTTCCATGCAGGTCCAGACGGGCGTGACGGCATCCGGTCTTCCCCACATGGAATGCCTGAGCGTGGGTTATACGTACCATTGGCAGCGGCAGCTCTACTTCAGCTGGCTCACGCTGTATATCCTGGTCGTGCCGGGCCTGCTCATCTCCGCCTTCTACCTCAGCCTGCTCAGGGCCGTGTGGGCAGCCTCCGACGCCGTTGACGCCACGCCGGCCAAGGACAGCGGCGACGTCGAGTCCACACTACGGCGCTGCACCCAGGCGCAACCCCTGCTGTCTCGTGCGCGAGCCAAGACGCTCAAACTGTCGGTGAGAAATGAGAGCTGAGTGTTAACCCAATGCCACAGGAGACTCCAGCGAAATCGGCGCCGCGTAGCGGCAATGCCGAGAACCCCCGAGAGAAGGTCGCTTCGTCTCTGTCGTCTGCTTTCGCTGCTTGGTTCTCGTAGCCAGCATAGCTTTATACTTAAATTTAGAGCGCACAAGAATAATTCACACTGAAACCTGCGCACCGGAAAAAATTAACCAATCATTTAAGTGCTCACTATCAACTCGTTGCATTTGATCTCCCTCAACGCCGTTTGCACAACTACAACACTTCGTTATTTTCCCTTTTTTGCTATGTACATCAACTCTTTTTCAGATTACGTTATAGAAAGGCTGCTAACACAATTCCATCCAGATTCACAATGTTCTCAGCCTCAATAATGTCTCGAGTGAGCTGTTGAAAGTTCTTGTTGATAAGGGTGCCGTCCGGCAATGTATGTCTAGCGGTCACAAGTAGTTTACACCTTAAAATAATGTTTACTTGGCCACAAACGCTTATCAACCCAATTAAGTCATTCATTGTATTATTTCTCCAACCGTGAAGGTGAGCACTACGTACGAAGCGCGTAGGAAAAAGCCAACGCGAACCCTATCTCTCACTTTGATGACCTTCCGGACAGCGATACTTAGTTGTTTTACAGTAGCTTGTCGCCCTTCGAAGACAATTAGGGATTTTCAATATCGTCTGCCTCGCGAATATTAGTTCTCCAAAAATAAAGAAGTCTAGCTTTGGCCAAATACGCAAATCAAACTGGCGGGGAAAAAAACTAAAAAAAACAACATCATTTTTAGTAATTATTTTTATCATGTTACACCATGTCACTCTTACGCAATGTCTAGTAAAAGGTTTTTACCTTGCAGAAAGCCCTTTTATGTGTAGCACCGATTCTAAGCTGCAACAAAAGAAATCAAGGTGTCTCCCCTGCTGAATCATGAAACCGACCTCCTTTCGTCTGCTATTTTTCCCCTTTTCATAGTGAATCCTCTACGCGCTGCCATCTTCGCATCCCGAGCTGAGGAACCCGTTCTAAACAAGCGGAGTCGCTTTCTTTTGATTAATAATTTAATATCAGACAACGCTCATGCGTCCTCAGGCAAGTGACGCAGCATTTTTTGCCTGGTTGATAAGAAATAGAAAGGTATTTCATTTTGCGATGTACCGCATGAACGCTTTGAGGCACCGGAGTCGATCCAAAGATCGGAGCGTGCCACTCGACCTTCCGGTTAGTAAAAGCACCGTGCAGAGCATGAAGTCATGTGGCGCGTATGGAGCAGCGGATTGGCTAACATGGTTCTTAACTTCCGTTGAGGTACGTCGTAAGGCTGAAAGGAGCGTAGAGTCTATAGACCAGTCTTATTGAAGTTCGGTCAATCAATACCATGAAGAAGATGAGGCTTGTGCCTTTCCTTCTGTGACGTCATCACGAGTGGACCTCTGTAAAGGCTCTGTTACAGCTCTGTTCTACTCCGACGTTGAGCGTAGGAAACGTGGCGTAGCGCAGCGCACATAGATACTGACTGGTCGCAGATATCGAGTTGCTGCTCGCCGGTCAATAAGAGGCGCATGTTCTGCGCTACGCTGCATTCGCTGCGATCAACGTCCGAGTACAACAAAGCCTTAACTACGGCTAGCTTGTGTCCGCTTCGCCGCGGTTGCGTCGCCGACGCGCTGACGGCGAGCCGCATAGAGGGCAATGGTGAAGCGCTGCGTTTCCAAGATACAGGCGTCTAGCGCTTTGTCCCATAATTGTGTCCAGCTCTAGCACTTTTGCCACTTGGAGTAGTTCAGAGGTCTACTAACACTGATGTAAATCACTGGTCTCACCTTCTAATTGGTATTGTTTGGCTACAAAAGTAGCAAATGTATAATTTGATTAAGGAAAGCTCTGCTCAGGTGATTACCGCTGACCAGAACGCGAGCCGGAGCGCAACCACATGCGGAACAACGCAAACGCTCACAGTGATCTATTATACTGTTTCATATTTTAGCCCACTTATGAATAATGAGATGTCGAAAGGCTGGGCATGCTATTCGTTTTGGTTTTGTATACTATTGTGTTGTTGTAGAGAGTGATGTTTGAAAGTGGACGGCGCATTTGAGGCGTGCACCCACCATTGGATAATTTCTCATCGGAGCAGTAACCCACCCACCTGATGCAACTGGGCAAGTATGCTCGTGCTTTATGTTTTACGTTACTCTGCGGTTCATCTCTCCCGCAATATTACCGCAGCGTTGACGCCGACACTGCTAGTTTGTTAAGCAACATAATGTGCTATGCAAAGGTGGCGGTAATGAAATTAGTGTAATTCAATTATAGTAATTAAATTACTTTTGAGAGTAATTTGTAATGCATCTCATTACTTTTGGTGCAGGTAGTTTAGTAATGTAATGAATTATTCTAGTGGCGGTAATTTTAATTAAAATCGTAATTACTTTTTAGATATTTAAGGCATGTTTTTTTTAATTTGCCCGGAAATAAACGAGGAAAAAAGCGCCGTTGTTGCATTTGCACAAAAAATGTAAAGTTTCTTGAAAAAATAACAAAAAAGGAAGGACAAATGCGGTTTTCGTTTGTGACCGCTGGCTCGTATGACGGTCGAGCTGGGTGCCTTTATGTGTGCGTTCCTTGAAGGGACTCTAGGTCGGACTAGAAGGTCGTGCCACCTAAATCCTGCTGGGTTTGTGTTGCTGTGACCAAGAATAGGCTTCCCATAACACGGCTTTTGTCCCCCTTGAAGATTATCTTGCCCCCAAATTCACACAAAGAAGACACAACCCACAGGAATAATCGATAGCAAGGCAATCCGAACCCAGACGCATCCGGGAATCGACAGCGTGCGCAGGAGGCGTTTCGGAAAAAACGTGAACCCACAACACAGACAGATTCAAGATCAGTCAATTCGGTTTGGGAGGGCATGTTGGTTATCTTTATCTGTCTCTGGTTTTGCCCACTGACCTGGTGTGGGGTTAACGGTTGTTACATTTTAAATGCAGAGCAGAGTGCGGTCTTTTTTTTTTTTTGTTGTTTAGCTCGACCTTTAAAAAAGATGAAACAGTAATTTAAAAGTAATTTCATTACTTTTTTCGTGGAAATTTCGAATTGCAATTTATTACTTTCCTGTAGTGGTAATTTTAATGTATATTTTAATTACATTTCAGTCGTTTTTAGAAAAATAATTAGTAATGTGATTTAATTACAATAAATGAGTAGTTTGGCCACCTCTAGCGCCAGGGCACTAAAAATCTATTTGAAATGTTCTGAGGCTGGAGTCTCTTCAATGAATTAAAGCGCACCCGCGTTACCGATCAATAACGGCGTTTACAAACAAGTTTGGGTTTACCCACATCAAAGGTTTTGGCACTGCGCGAGAGCAGAAACGAGATCCGCGTGAAGTGTCGTCTGCGCATTCCCCATAACGGAGAGCTACTGCTTCGCAGCTGTCCGACGTCAGAGTCGCGCGTTGGTGCATCGACTCCTTCGAGGCCAAGAAAGTTGTATACTAAGCATAAAATATGCGATCCTTCGAAATTGCGTCTCTTCGACCCTGCCCGCATTGGACTGGAAAAGAGCGTAAGCCATGGGATTCGTCCTAATTTTGTTCGAGGTTCGCGTTATCCCCATGAACGACTTCGCACGTGGGGTGTACCGGAGGAGAGTTATGAAACGTAGAACGAAAATAAAACGAGGCGTTTTTCTAGAGGGCGACTGCTTCAGTCTTTCTTTCTTCTTTGTAATTGGCGTTATGTAGCGATAAAGCAAACCAGGAGTAGACGGCCATACTTCGTTTCATGGTAAGTCCTAAGCGCACTTGAACGCTCGAGCAAATACAAGCACCAACAAACATACTAAAGCGCAAGTCACGCCGCAGTCGCCGCACCTGATTGGTTTAGCGATCAATACGCCTCGCAAGTGGGCTCATTTTCGTCTTCTGCGCATGAGAAGGGAAGTAGCGGTGACGTCAGAAGGCCGAGCCCTGATTGGCTGATCGCGACCCCCTATCTCAGCGTCGTCTGCTCCTTTGCAACGTCGTCTGCTCGCAATATCGTCTGCGTCTGTCTTACCTTTCCTGCGACTTTGGGAAGTGCAGGTCTTTACGAGCGAGCTCGACTTCGCCTATGACAGATTGCAGACGAAATAACACGAGCGGTACGTTGTTTTTGTCTAACAACTAGCAGACGCGCATCAAGCAGGGAAGTCAAAGGACTCACAGGCAAGGTGTCCCGAGGCGCCGAGGTTTGTTTGCTAAGAACCGAGAGGTGTGCGTGTTAGTGCCCCGCAAGTTCCCTCCCAAATACTTTTTCTCTCCTTTCGTGTGCGGCGAGACCCCTCACTCTTTAACGGCGTCGGCGGATTGGCGCAGTTAACGTTGTCTGCTTTACGTCTGCTAGTCAAAACGATGGCTGCTTTACCTTTCCTGCGTCTGTCGGAGATTCACCGCTTTTTCACCGCCGAGAGTCACCGTTGCCTCGGGAAACAATGAGATAACAAGAGGAAGAAATTGACCTCTTAATCTGAAATTGAGGTCAGCGATCAAGGTATTATACGGGAAGGGTTCACAAGGGTCGCGCGGGCATATTCCATTCAGCACGCCAGCCGGTCGTGGGCAGACGGTCGCCGAGTCGCGGAGTGCCTGCTAGGCCTAACTGCTGAGCTCGACGTCGGTTTCGGTGGAATCGTGGCCACTGGAGCTTTTCCCGGGTGTTCGTGGATCCAGCGTTCTTGTTCGTCGTGGTCTGTTTCAAGTACTTTTTTACTTTTTTCTTGCTGCTTGAAGTCGGGACGCGTGAGAAGCGCACGTAGAAAAATAAACGTCCGTGGGTCGTCGCGACCGCGACGCTGTCGGCCATGCTGATTTGATCCTAAGAAGTGCGTAAGACAGCTACGGAGCTGTTGTAGGATTTCGTCGTAACCTGCGCGAAACTTTCGAAAATTTCGTTTTGTGAATACGAATTTGTTCTTCAGTTTTGTCCTAAGCACATT